CCCCCCCCCCACACAAGGCACTAACAGACGGCGTACCATTACTTTAAGGGGACAAGTCCGAGTGATTAAAGAAGGAAAGATGGCCAACTCAACACATCCCACGGTGCCGAACGATTTGGAATCATCCAAGAAAACTGTCAATGTTATCGATAACGAAGCGCTCAAATTCCTAATCGAAAAGACGAAAGTCCAAGGAATTGAGTCCACTGAGAAACAGACAGTGGAAGGCAAAGAAGAAGAAGTGATTATATGGAAATACCCAGAAGAGAAAATCGTTGAACTGAATGAACTTCATGAAAACCACGGCGTGGTGTTCAACTTCGCACGCCACGGGGCAGATCTCCAGCCAGCGGAGAAAAGAAAATGGGTAATCGATACAATCCGGAAGGAACCAAGATGCAAACTGATAGGTGACACCTTCTCATTGCAAAACTTGGGCCGAAATAACATCATGGTGTTATTCATCCAGGAAGATCACGCGAGGATCGCATCTGAAATGCAATCTAGAAACTGCCACGGCTCAGTTTGCACGATCACAAGGTGGAAGAAACTCTCAGCCCAAAGACAGACCCTAGGATTCGCAGTTTCCTATAAATAGACTTTAATGAAGGAGAATTTTTGGGTTCAATTCGACAACATTCAACCAGGATTTCACGGTTTACTGGTGGACAGGCTCGAGAGACAATACACAGCGAACAAAGTTCTGAAATGGATTCTTCCGACGCCAGATTTTCTAGCGCCTCACTGTGGCACGATGACAGCAATCTTGGATGTACAGACAGACGACCCCCCTGTTTTCCCACAGGTCTGGAAGTTCCAGATTGAGAACAGGGTGATCGAGGTAAGGATCTCTACAAGAACCTCACCGATCTGCTTTCGATGCAGAGAAAGAGGCCACCTGGGCTCTGACCCAAGCTGTCCCAAGTTTCCTACACAAGCAAAAGAAAGAAAACTCCTACCAAACATGTTGGTAGAAGTCGAGGATGCTCCAGGTATTTGGTATGTGGCTGAT